AGCCGAGGCAAAATTTTTGCGTTAAAATGTATCGCTAGGCGGATTTAACGTTATGCGATGCATTCATTAGGCGAGGGTCCACTGTATTACATATATACATTCATTAAACCCTCAATTACATATTTGAGACATATTCCTGAAAATCTGTACCTAACTGAAAATCACGTTACACGAACTGAAGAAAATAAGAGAAAAATAGGATTACAATTCAAATGCTTCCAAATCTGCTGAAGTTTGCCATACTCTACTAGGTAAAATCTGTTAGTCATTGCTTGAATAATTGGAAGAGTGTGGGTAGGGTTAATGTACGCCTAATGAGTCAAGTTGATGTATAAAGGCTTATCATCTGACATTCTTGCTATATGTAAAAATCTATAAAAATAAAAGCTATATTTCCTTTCCAAACTGTACCAAACATAGGAGCTCACTCTTGCACTTATACCAAAGATAAAGCCAAAACAAAGACAAAATATTACCTACAATAATACGGCACCATCAGCTACACTCTGAAGGAGCACTGGGGATATCTGCAGTTTGGAGGAGCCTCTGAGCTGTAATATTAGTATGCCTCTGCCAAGACAGTGATAGTGAAAGTTTTTCTTCACTTTTGGGTCACCGTACCTCAGTGGGGGAGTGTCGGTCTTAAAAAAAAATAACCAAACTGACAGCTTACGCTGTACTGAGCCATCAACATGTCAACATTGGTAAAAATAAAGGCCACATTTATTTACCAAATTGTAACAAATATATAGGCACTCACCACAACTATACCAAGCAAACATATACTTGTGCTGAAGATGAATGAATTTCAGACAGTAATAACCAAGAAAAATAAATAATGTAATAAAATGGTGTAGAAGGCTGTCTGTTAGATGTGGAATAAGGTGCTGACTATGGCTTTGGTTCCCAGCATTATTGTGGAACCACAGATTTCTACTGAATATCAAACTCTTCAGTACATCTCTGAATTGTCTGTAAAACTTATATTTTGAATTACCCAAGAATGAAAAGCTGATATTGTACTGCAGTGAAGAGAAAGTAATACCACGTGCCTGGCTGAAGCAAAGCCAGAGTCAGGAAGAAACTAGGTCACATTCCTCTCCTCTGTAGAAATAATGTTAGGGTGATAACAGGAGCAGCAACCAGCAAGAAACATGCCCATATATCAGCCTGCATTTCAACACTCACATAAATACAGCAATACTATGCTTTAATTAGCAACGTGTGGGGAAGCTTTAGAATATATGATGTGTCTGGGTAAAGATCGTGTAATGACAGAACTTCACTGTACCTCCACTACAACTGTCAGTCTCAGTAAAGATGTTAATAGCCTCTCCTCTGTAAACAACAAAGTTCCATTCCTAAGTAAACAACAAAGTTCCATTCCATTCGGTAAACGAATTTGTCGGTAAGTGAGGAGCATACTATAATGGTAATGGGTGTGTGTCAACCATCTTTGGTATTGTTTTAATGTCACCTTTGCACCATTTATAGCATTTCTGGTATATTCTTAAATGTTTATACAGTGGTGTACTGTATATTGTAATAAACAGAATAGAGGAAATCAGCACCAACATACATTATTCAGGTATGACTACTGGTCAAAGAGCCCATCGTAAGTCCGAGTCATCGGTAAATGAGTATGTCGCTAAGTGAGGAGAGGCTGTACTGTACCTCCACTACAATTTTCAGTCTGTGAAGATGTTTACTGTACCTCCATTTTCTTGTTTAGACACTTATTACTCCGTTATTAACCCTTCTACTGTCGAAAAACCATGAAATGAAAATAACTCAATGTCCACATTTTAACACTAAACTGTCCAGACTTCCAAAATACAGGCAGGTCCTGCTTTACACTGCTTCGCTTTATAGCATAATGCTAATGGAGCGGTTTTCAATTATGCCCAATCTTCATTTATTCAGACTTCCTACATTAATATATTCACCACTCACTATAAGCTTAGGATGAAAATATTTTCAAGGAATATATGTCATGTATATGCATTGTTGAGGCCTTGCTTTATTGCTCACTTAATATATGATAGTGTAAACATGTTATCAGGCTTTTGTATACATTTCAGTGAAAAAAGGCTACTAACCAATTAATGACTGGTTAGTAGTCAATACCAAGTGACACTTTCCTACTAAGTTACTCCTCTTCTTTCAACAAACCAGCCATATCCCACCAAGGCACTGTGGCCCAATAAGAAAAATGAAAGTTTCTCTTTTTAAATTTAGTAATATATATAGGAGAAGGGGTTACTAGCCCCTTGCTCCTGGCATTTCAGTCACCTCTTATGACATACATGGCTTACAAAGGAAGAATTCTGTTTCACTTCCTCATGGAGATAAAAGGGAAATATAGAAGAACAAAAACTAATAAAGAAAATAGAAGAAAACCCATGTGCGTAAATATATACTCATGTACATGCATGTGTAACGTGACCTAAGTCTAAGTAGAAGTAGCAAGACGTACCTGATATCCTGCAAGTTTATGAGACAGAAAAGACACCAGCAATCCTACCATCATGTAAACCTCATATTGTAAAGTTATCTTGAATTACAATACACTACTTGTTGAAATTTTGATGTTAAATACTAAGGAGCAGCTACTACACATTTCAATGTAAGGGAAACCCTTACAAGTCATATAATATTAAGAGAAGAGTGAAGACCCTTGCAGCATTCTCTGAAGTCCACATTACATAATGAAAATTAGAAGACCTTGAGCAAATACTTGTTTAAGTATTTCAATAAAATTTTCCCTATTGTAACCAAATGGAAATTTCTGAGAGGGGTCAGGCTAAATATTTTTTCCACACTTACAAATAAAGACAACCATAGTTCACATGGACTTATTTTATTAATATATATGGCTCTGTAGGTAGTAGGTTGGTAGACAGCAACCGCCAGGGAGGTAATACCGTCCTGTCAAGTGAGTATAAAACGGAATTCTGTAATTGCTTTACATGATGGTAGGATTGCTGGTGTCTTTTTTTCTGTCTCTTAAACATGCAAGATTTCAGGTACGTCTTGCTACTTCTACCTACACTCAGGTCACACTACACATACAAGTACAGTGGACCCCCGCATAACGATGGCATCGCATAGCGATTTTTCCGCATAACGATTACTTTTATCGCAAAATTTTTGCCGCGCATACCGATTAAAAACCCGCATACCGATTTTCGTCCGAGACGCGTCCAATGTGCCCTCAGCCAGCCTCACATGTGCCGCTCCGTCCCATTGTTTACCAGCCAGCCTCCGCGGTAACATCCAAGCATACACTCGGAATATTTCGTATTATTACAGTATTTTCGGTGCTGTTTCTGGAAAATAAGTGACCATGGGCCCCAAGAAAGCTTCTAGTGCCAACCCTGTGGTAAAAAGGGTGAGAATTAGTATGGAAATTAAGAAAGATTTTGAAGGGTTTGGGGCTAACCCTGAGAAGCCTATGCCAGTTGTGGAATCCATTGTGCCTACTTCAAAGATTAAGGAAATGTGTGCAGAGTGGGTTGAACTGCAAACCTTTATAGATGAAAATCACCCTGACACAGCTGTTGCAAGCCGTGCTTGTGACTATTTCAATGACAATGTTATGGCCCATTTTAGGAAAGTCTTGAAGGAACGGGAGGTACAGAGCTCTATGGACAGATTTGTTGTGCGACAGAGGTCCAGTGACTCTCAAGCTGGTCCTAGTGGCATTAAAAGAAAAAGGGAAGTAACCCCAGAAAAGGACTTGCTACCTCAAGTCCTAATGGAAGGGATTCCCCTTTAAACAGTAAGAAGATAATGCTCTCCCCCTCCCATCCCATCAATCATCACCAGATCTTCAATAAAAGTAAGTGTCATGAAAATTGTGATGCCTTTTTCAGTTTGTGTGTATTAAAATAACATTTCATGTGGTAAAAAAAAATTTTTTCATACTTTTTGGGCGCTTGCACGGATTAATTTTATTTCCATTATTTCTTATGGGAAAATTCATTCGCATAACGATTATTCGCATAACGATGAGCCCTCTGCACGGATTAAAATCGTTAACCGGGGGTCCACTGTACAAGCATATACAGGGACCCCCGGTTAAACCCATATTTTTTCACTCCAGAGTTTTGTTCGGGTTTGCCCATCCCCCGACCGAATTTGTTCCCATAAGGAATATTGTGAAGTAGATTAGTCCTTTTCGACCCCCAAACATACACGTACAAATGCACTTACATAAATACACTTACATAAATACACTTACATAATTGGTCACATTCGGAGGTGACCGTTATGCGGGGGCCCACTGTATATACACACATACACCCCTCTGGGTTTTCTTCTATTTTCTTTCTAGTTCTTGTTCTTGTTTATTTCCTCTTATCTCCATGGGGAAGTGGAACAGATTTCTTCCTCCATAAGCCATGCGTGTGGTAAGAGGCGACTAAAATGCTGAGAGCAAGGGGCTAGTAACCCCTTCTCCTGTATAAATTACTAAATTTAAAAAGAGAAACTTTTGTTATTCTTTTTGGGCCACCCTGCCTTGGTGGGATATGGCCGGTTTGTTGAAAAAAAAAATATGGCTCTCAGAGTGCCAACACACTGGCATTAGTGCAAAAATTCCTCAAGTTCAACTCTGATGTATCTAATATAATTATATATTCATAGGAAAAATTAACCAAAGAAAGGTACACTGTGTCTATTAAAAAAGTTAAAGATTTCTGAAGATTCTGTAGCTGATTTAAACATTATATTTGTTGGAAAAAACTGTTCCACTGGGAATATGATTTGAAATAGTGCATTTGGAAATTTCATATGCCTAGAAGTGTGTAGTTGGAAATGTCAGACACTAAGAATTCTGAACAATGAACTTATACTCTACTGATATAGTTATGCCTTTCCAATAAGGCAGTTACATAACATGGTAATAAGCAAGATTCAGCACTGTACAAGTCATTATTCTGTACTAAGATACAAAATGTTTGCTAATTCATTTAGTAAAATACAGAATAGATATCTACCTTGTTTGACCTGAAGTCTCAGAAGTTGTGTGTTTATTTCCATAAAATTCCTTTTCTTTAATAAGCGATAATAGAGGTAGGAAAAGGCCTCGAGCATTTGGACAAGTAAATAAATGCCTACCATTCCAGGACCCGTCACAGCCACCAGCCATAACAAATTCCTGAAATACAAAAAAATTCATAATGCCATTTCTAGAATAATTCACCAAAAAATCCACACTAACAAGAGTAGCCTCACTTATGACATTTCGGTCTGCACTGAAACATCACAATAAGGTTCCTCTCTTAAGTGCAGTTTTTTTTAGCTAATTCATGAAATACAGAACAAGTCTAAAAATAAAACAAATATTGTCTTACTCTAAAACCCTACAAATTAATAAAAATACTGAAGGTAGATTTCAACAATGTATTTCTAACAAAAATTATTAAAAAAAAATACTTTGTCAATAGATGCAATTATCCTCACATACAGTATCCTGCCACCTTTTGTGTGATTTAGTTACATTCCAGAAAAATAGAACTTTACATAAAAACACAAAGGGTGAAGTGAACACCATGAGTAAAACCAAGTATGTTCCACGCTACCTCCAAAAAAAGTCTAACTTTTCTTTAATATATGTACACAATTCCCCCTAAAATAACAAAGAACTGCACAATGATTTTCACCCTTTCACCGCCTCGTATGTAGATCCATGTTGCTGGCCCCAGAGTCACTTACGTAGATCTATGCATAAATTCTAGCAGTTTCAAATTTGGTACCAAAGGTCTCCTAGGCCTACATATGAGAGAACAGGTATGCATGGTCACCACAGAACATTGGGGGAATGCCATATTTAATACGCCTTGTCGGCCGGCCAGCCAGCCAGCATTACAAAAAATGCGATATCTAATAATGATAGAAATCTCCAGTGAATACTAGAAAGGTCTGCTCCTCTAGCATCCAGCCTGTTACTGGGTTTTTGTAACAAGTATTCAGTATCCTGGTCCAATTTTCCATTAGAATTTAATAGATTCAATAGTGCTTCAGGATTACAACTGGTTGGCTACTAATTAAAGAAATTAAAATTTAATAAGTTTATTAATAAAGATAAAGTTGTCTAGGTGGACAATATCAAAGTAAATCAAAGTAATCAATTTAATATAATATAGGATAAAAGTTCCTACACTTCTCTCATGTACAGTAGTATTATGCTGAAGGCACATATCATATCTTTATGGCTTTTAAGTACAGTCTGGTATACTGTCAGCATTTAAGAACATAATAATAATACGTATTTGCAAGTGAGTATGTGTGCAAGTGCTCTAAGCAGTTCACTATGTCTCAAGACTCGATTAGACTTAACCAGTGACTGACTAAAAGTCCACACATAAACTAACTTCTTGATCAACCTGACAATCAGAACAGCTTGCTTGAACAGTAAACCAACCGATTCACTGAACAGCAATATAACAAGCAGCAGCAACAGAGAATCAGGAACAAGGAGATAACATAACAACTAAGTAGGGACCATCAGCAGATCCTCCACAAAAGTCACAAAACTCCCATACTACTGAATCTAAGTTCAGCAAAAGAAAATCCCCGACTGTGACGGTGCAGAGATACAAGTACAAATTAGGTCAGAAGCTACAGCTCAGGACCTGAGTTTCTCAAAGTGTCAGTGTGACACACAACCTCAGTAAAACGTTGAAAATCACTAAGTCTAGGCTATGCTCTGTGAACAGAGTTACACAGAACTAACAACAAGAGAGAACGACAGAGATAATATTCTAACAAGGGCCAGCAAGGGAGAGCTGGAGAGGGAGGTGTCATTGGAATCATCGTCAAACAGAGAGCTAACGAAGGAAAGGCAGTCCTCTCAACCAGGTGAGGTGTGATCACCCCACCCTGATCATGTGACTCTCTGTGGACTGCTGCTGCCCAGCAACTACAGAGAAGCCAGCAGCGAAACAAGCGGAGCGGTAGTTAGTCATTAGACAATGCCGTCAGCTACTTAACACTCTTGAGCAATGAGCATTTAATAATGTATAAATGTTACATCCTACCTAATAATATAACTAAGTCAAATAATAATATAAAGCAATATATTTACAATTTGTTGGTCCCTTTTCTGTATGCAAAACTATTGTTATTCTCTATAAAATGTATTTTTTGTTAATATTTTTGGGTGTCTGGAATGGTTTAATTGGATTTACATTATTTCTCATGGGAAATATTAACAAAAAATACATTTTATAGAGAATAACAATAGTTTTGCATACAGAAAAGGGATTACTAAATTCGAATGCCCACGTATCAGCAATATAAAATTATATGAACAGGTAATATACATTATATACATTGTGACCCATTCAGGGGTCGCAACAGCCAGTATGTCAGTCAGTCAGTCTGTCATCACACAAACTCATGTAAAGTTAATTTTACAAAGTGTTGTATCAAATTGTGCTGCAATATTTCAATTGTGCTATAACCAAATTGTGCCAAATAAACTTGTGTTAAATGACGGTCTACTGTATATACTAAGCAAGAGGAAACGCTTTGGTATGAACAGGTTTCATTTACTGGTGACAGCTCCAACAATGAGGATTCCGGAGCTGATGAGTACCTTGGTATCAACCATATGTCTGTCTCTATGTCTCTGTCTCTGTCTCTATATCTCTGTGTGTCTCTGTCTCTCTGTCTCTCTGCCTCTATGTCTCTCTGCCTCTATGTTCTCTGCCTCCTTTTCTCAAGTTCTCTGTCCTCGTCTCCTGTCTCAATGTCTCAGTCATGTCTCTATGTCTCTATGTCTCTATGTCTCAATGTCTCTATGTTCAATGTCTCTTGTCTCAAAGTCTCTATGTCTCAATGTCTCTATGTCTCAATGTTCTCATGTCTCTATGTCTCTATGTCCAATGTCTCAATGTCTCTATGTCTCAATGTCTCAATGTCTCAAGTCTCTATGTCTCAATGTCTCAAAGTCTCTATGTCTCAAGTCTCATGTCTCAATGTCTCAATGTCTCAATGCTCAAAGTCTCAATGTCTCAATGTCTCTATGTCTCAATGTCTCAATGTCTCATGTCTAAAGTCTCAATGTCTTATGTCTCAAAGTCTCTATGTCTCAATGTCTCAATGTTCAATGTCTCAATGTCTCAATGTTCATTTTCTCAATTTTCTCATGTCTCTATGCTCAATGTCTCTATGTCTCAATGTCTCAATGTCTCTATGTCTCTATGTCTCAATGTCTCTATGTCTCAATGTCTCTATGTCTCAATGTCTCAATGTCTCTATGTCTCTATGTCTCTATGTCTCAATGTCTCAATGTCTCAATGTCTCAATGTCTCAATGTCTCAATGTCTCTATGTCTCAATGTCTCTATGTCTCAATGTCTCTATGTCTCAATGTCTCTATGTCTCAATGTCTCTATGTCTCAATGTCTCAATGTCTCAATGTCTCTATGTCTCAATGTCTCTATGTCTCAATGTCTCTATGTCTCAATGTCTCTATGTCTCAATGTCTCTATGTCTCAATGTCTCTCTGTCTCAATGTCTCTATGTCTCAATGTCTCTATGTCTCAATGTCTCAATGTCTCTATGTCTCAATGTCTCTATGTCTCAATGTCTCTATGTCTCTATGTCTCTATGTCTCAATGTCTCAATGTCTCTATGTCTCAATGTCTCTATGTCTCTATGTCTCTATGTCTCAATGTCTCAATGTCTCTATGTCTCAATGTCTCTTTTGTCTCAATGTCTCTATGTCTCAATGTCTCTATGTCTCAATGTCTCTATGTCTCTAGGGTCTCAATGTCTCAATGTCTCAATGTCTCAATGTCTCAATGTCTCTATGTCTCAATGTCTCAATGTCTCAATGTCTCTATGTCTCTATGTCTCAATGTCTCTATGTCTCAATGTCTCAATGTCTCAATGTCTCTATGTCTCAATGTCTCAATGTCTCAATGTCTCAATGTCTCAATGTCTCTATGTCTCTATGTCTCAATGTCTCATGTCTCAATGTCTCTATGTCTCTATGTCTCAATGTCTCAATGTCTCTATGTCTAAAATGTCTCTATGTCTCAATGTCTCTATGTCTCAATGTCTCTATGTCTCAATGTCTCTATGTCTCAATGTCTCTATGTCTCAATGTCTCTATGTCTCAATGTCTCAATGTCTCAATGTCTCTATGTCTCAATGTCTCTATGTCTCTATGTCTCAATGTCTCAATGTCTCAATGTCTCAATGTCTCAATGTCTCTATGTCTCTATGTCTCAATGTCTCTATGTCTCTTATGTCTCAATGTTCAATGTCTCTATGTCTCTATGTCTCAATGTCTCAATGTCTCAATGTCTCAATGTCTCTATGTCTCTATGTCTCAATGTCTCAATGTCTCAATGTCTCAATGTCTCTATGTCTCAATGTCTCTATGTCTAAATGTCTCTATGTCTCAATGTCTCTATGTCTCAATGTCTCTATGTCTCAATGTCTCAATGTCTCAATGTCTCAATGTCTCTATGTCTCAATGTCTCTATGTCTCAATGTCTCAATGTCTCAATGTCTCAATGTCTCAATGTCTCTATGTCTCAATGTCTCAATGTCTCTATGTCTCAATGTCTCAATGTCTCAATGTCTCTATGTCTCAATGTCTCAATGTCTCTATGTCTCAATGTCTCTATGTCTCAATGTCTCAATGTCTCTATGTCTCAATGTCTCAATGTCTCTATGTCTCAATGTCTCTATGTCTCAATGTCTCTATGTCTCAATGTCTCAATGTCTCAATGTCTCTATGTCTCTATGTCTCAATGTCTCTATGTCTCAATGTCTCAATGTCTCTATGTCTCAATGTCTCTATGTCTCAATGTCTCTATGTCTCAATGTCTCTATGTCTCAATGTCTCTATGTCTCAAGGGTCTCTCTGTCTCAATGTCTCTCTGTCTCAATGTCTCTCTGTCTCAATGTCTCTATGTCTCAATGTCTCTATGTCTCAATGTCTCTATATCTCTATGTCTCAATGTCTCAATGTCTCTATGTCTCAATGTCTCTATGTCTCTATGTCTCAATGTCTCAATGTCTCTATGTCTCAATGTCTCTATGTCTCAATGTCTCTATGTCTCTGTCTCTATGTCTCTGTCTCTATGTCTCTGTCTCTATGTCTCTGTCTCTATGTCTCTGTCTCTATGTCTCTGTCTCTATGTCTCTGTCTCTATGTCTCTGTCTCTATGTCTCTTTTCTCTATGTCTCTGTCTCTACCTCTGCCTCTGTAT